ACTGCGCGCGCGACTCGGACGCTCGGGCCCGGCGACGCTAGGAGCGGTTCTCTACTTGAGAACGTGGGCGCAGCCCGGGGAAGTCATCGCCTGAGCCCGTCCTGCCGCCAGGTGCCGTCGACTTTTCTCCTGCGGCCTCCGATGGCGGGGGGAGCTGGTCCTAAAGCGCTGCGGGTCAGACCTGACCGCTGCTCGCAGTCTGAGCTCCTGCAGTATGAATGGATGATCACTTGTGACTGTCAAAGCTACCAGAATGGCCCATGTGATCTAGATTGAGGATTTGTGGTCGGTTTAATGTTAAATTTGGAGGCTTGAGGAAGATGAGTTGTTGTCGGGGACTGGGTTAAAGAGTGAGCTAATGGTTGCAAGTCTTTTGTGACGGTAAAAATGTTTTAAAAAATTTGCAATGCCACAGTAACGCAAAATTTTAATTTAAATAAAATAAAAACAAAAACTTAATGTAAATGAAATTGCATGTTTTTTTTTACACAGTCTAGTGAATTGTAGAGTATCATAAGAAGCAACTTAAAAGGTGCCTTTTCTGGGCTTGTGGATTAACTTAAACCAGGGCACCCAGTCCTCCATTTTGCATCAGCTGTTTGGTCTGAGCTATTCCCAAAGGCAGTCAATTTACAATCACCTAAAGCTCTGGGATTAGACATTATTATCTTGTGACTAAAGGCAAACTGCCCCTCAGACAGCAAAGCTACGGTCTTAAAAGACAACAGCCAAGTGAGAGCTTGAGACCCTGAGTTCAAGCCACAGGACCAACAAACAGATGTACAGACCAAAATGGAAAGTCTAGAATGAACTCATGGGCATACTGACATATGGACTTGAAGTAGAGAAACCAGAATGCCAAGAGCACTGAATGGGGGAAAGGACAGATAACCCAATGATGATGTTGGAAAAGACTTCCACTGCAGAAGCATTGAACTCAAAGTGGATTACAGATCTACATTTATGTTCTGGAGCAAGAGATCCTAGAGAAAATCAGAGAAGGAGCTTCTTGTCATTGGATAGAGACACTACCGGACTGCACAGTGAACTACAACTTAAAGGATGGGAGAACATCTTTACAGGTCACATCAGGTAAAGAATAAACACCTAGAATACATCAAGAACTCCTATAATTGATTGAAAAAAATCAAATAGCAAAAGTCTTGACAGTTCTTCAAGATGACACAACCTGGAAAGATGCTCAGTGTCACTGATCATGAAAAGAAATCTAACACCCATTAAGATGGTGCCTGTCAAAAGCTAGGAAACAAGATTTGACAAGGTCATGGAGTGAATGGAAACTTGTCTTGATGAACTGGTGGTGGCACTGCAATATAATCACTACAGAAAACAGGTTAGCAGGCTGTGCAGGGGGAAAAGATGAAAACATTGCAGAGATTTGTCTTACAATGTGAATATCCCAACACTACTGAAATATATGTAAGCTTGTGCATTAGTCCAGGTTTTGTCACTGGCCAAATACCTGGGAAAAATAATTGAAAGAAGGAAGGCTTTATTTCAGTCTGTCATGGTAGGTAGGGCAGGGCAGAGCAGCTGACATCTGGAGCCAAGAAACTGAGGCAGGAATTTGCCTGTGTTAGGCCTTTCTCCTCTCCCTGCAGCCCATCCAACCCCTAACATATGGGATGGAACTGCCCACATTAATTGCCAGTCCTCCTTAATCCTCTCTGGAAAATCCATCACAAACAAGTCAGAAATGTGCTTTATTAATCTTTCTCAAATTGGTCAAGATTAAACATGCATCCAAGCTCTTGTGGTTCACACCTGTAATCCCAATTATTCAAGTGAGATCTGAGGATTCCAGTTGAAGCCAGCCCCAAGGGAGGAAAGTCCATTAGACTCATATCCAGTTAGCCAGCAAAAAACTGGGAGTAGAGCAGAGGCTCAAGTGGTAGAGCACCAGATTTGAGCAGAAAAATCTAAGGACAGTGCCCAGGCCCTGAGTTCAAGCCTCAATATTGGCATGCATGTGCATACAGAGTTGAAACATATATAATAAATTTTATGTTGCTTAAAAAAATAATAGCCGGGCGCTGGTAGCTCAATTCTATAAGCCTACCTACTAAGTAGGCTGAGATCTGAGGATCACAGTTCAAAGCCAGCCTGAGCAGGAAAGTCCATGAGACTCTTATCTCCAATTAACCACCACAAAACCATAAGTGGTGTTGTGGCTCAAGTGGTAGAGTGCTGTCCTTGAGCTGAAGAACTGAGGGACAGCGCCCAGGCCCACAGTTTAATTCTCACAACCAACCAAAAACAACATAATAAAAAGCAGCAATGTATTGTGGAATAATCTGGTATACAAATTTTAAAAAAGCAGAGTGCTGGTGGCTCATGCCTGTAATCCTAGCTACTAAGGAGACTGAGATCTAGGATCGAAGTTCAAAGCCAGCCCAGGCAGGAAAGTTTGTGAGACTCTTATCTCCAGAAAACCGAAAGTGGCACTGTGGCTCAGGTGGTAGAGAGCTCACCTTCAGCTGAAGAGCTGAGAGACAGTGCCCAGGCCTAGAGTTCAAGCCACCTGATGGACAAAAAAAAATAATAATAATAAAAATAGCACAAATGCCAGAAGGGCAGAAATGAGAGCATGGTATAAAGTTCTTATGCCACATATGACATACTTTAAGGTAGGTCCTCATGACTTAAAAATCTACATTATAAACGGACCACTACAACAACAGAAATGCTAATGCACTGTCAACAAAGGGAACCAGGATAAAAAATTTCTCCCACTAGAGGGCAGCCTAAATCTTGTGTATAATGGCACAGTTCTTTCTCAATTAGAAAGGACAGAAACCCAAGCTACCTAAAGCTTGTATCTGCTTGTGTTTGTAATTCCTATTTCTTCACCCTTTCTATTTCAGAGGTAGAATGAAATATTAACAATCATTGCTTGGAAGTAAAAATGTGTCAGCTGGATGAGTGCTGGTGGCTCATGCCTGTAATTCTAGCTTCTGAAGAGTCTATGATCTGAAAATCAAGGTTTGAAACCAGTGCCATCAGGAAATTCCATGAGATTCTTATCTCCAACTAACTAGCAAAAAGCCAGGAGTAGAACATGGCTCAAGTGATAGAGCTCTAGCCTTGGTGAGGTGGGAGAGGGGAAGGTCCTGATCACAAGCCCTAGGACCAGTACAAAAAGAAAAAGAAAAAAAGTCTGGTATTGGTGGCTCACACCTAGCTATTCAGGAGACTGACATCTGAGTGTTGTGGTTCGAAGCCAGCCTGGTCAGGGAAGACCATTATCTATAATAAACTTCCAATGCCAAACGTGGAGCTGTGACTCAAGTGGTTGAGAGCTAGCCTTAAGCAAGAAAGCTCAGGTCCAACAGTCCAGGCCAGGACTGGTCCATACACACATACAAAGAGGAGTAACCTGGGCTTAAAGGAACCAAGGACCTGGCAGGACAAGCTGGAGCAATTGCAGTGCCATCTCTAAATGCTAGACCTGTCCCCTGAAACTCAGAGCCTGCCTCCTGCTTATGACTGGTTTAGCACCATAAAACTATGCTGCTAAGTTTGACTTGTTGAAGGTTGGAATGTGTTTGTGACTGTAAATATCACTATTCTACATTACTGTGAAACTTGTGAAATTTATGTAATAACTTAATCTCAAAAAAAAATTATTAAAGAGCTGGGAAGGTGGCTCAGTGGTAGAGTGCTTGCCTCCCATGCATGAGGCCCTGGGTTTGATTTCTCAGCACCATATAAGCAGAAAAAGCCCGAAGTGGCACTATGGCTTGACTCAAGTGGTAGATCGCTAGCCTTGAGTTGAAGAGATGAAGGACAGTGTCCAGGCCCATAGTTCAACCCACGACCAACAAAAACAAAACAAGCCACCATAGTGCTGGAAAAGTGCCTCGGGTAGAGTGCTTACCTTGCATGCATGAGGCCCTGGATTCGATTCCTCAGCACCACATAAACAAAAGGCTGGAAGTGGTGCTGTGGCTCAAGTGGTAGAGTGCTAACCTTGAGCTGAAGAGCTCAGGGACAGTGCTCAGGCCTAGAATTCAAGCCCCAGGACCGACCAAACAAAACAAAACGCTGCCAGCAAGGCATTGTGCTGGTTAACCGGAAATGTAATCGCTTGGTTTTTCTGGCCTTGAACAGCAATCCTCTGAATCCCAATTCTCCAGAGTAGCTAGGCACAGTTTTATTGTTGGTTTTTGTTTTCCTTTGTGATGCGATTCCCGCCAAAACCCAGGCGCGCTGTACTTGGCGTCTACCGAGTGATCTACTTGGATTTTTCCGGAGCCAGAACTGTGGAACAGAGGCCTAGCAAGCCTGAAGGAGCGGCTGGGACTTACCGATGGGGGCCTCCACCAGGCGGGCCCCCGGAGGGTGGTGGCCCCGCCACGGCTGCGTCTGTCCAGCCCAGGCGGTTGAGGCCCACAAAGCCTGGACTTGCACCAGTCCTCGCCTGGAGGACGCCTGGAGGACCCCCGCCCGGTTTTCTCTCCCTGCCGCCCGCCAGGGCGCAAAGGCCCTACCACTGAAGGCGGCAAAGCCTCGTGGTCCTGACGTGCACCGCACGTGTGACGTCACTGCGGGCACTGCCTGCGAGAGGCGAGGGGTGGCTGGTTGCCAAGCAACAAGGTTGTAGCAGGGCGCCTCGGGCCAGTCAGAGGCCACAGCGCGGCCTGGGCTGGAAGAGGAGCAAGCCGTCTGTGGTGGGCGCTTGTCCGTCGCCTCCCACCGGGAAACTCAGTTCGCTCTTCATTTCTGCAGGCTGGG